TTCCATGAGAAACAATCCAATTTTACGACTTTAAATTTTGAACCGAATCTTCTGCTATCGAATACGAAAAATCATGGAGAATGAAAGTTTCATGTTGATCAGCTTCTCGAAAGAAAAATAACATTTCTAAGAAAGTCTGCAACGTCGCAAATGGAGAGACGTAGTCTCTCATTTTGCTCGAAAATCGATGTATGTATGAAATTGAAGGCATTATGGCCGGCCTCTCTCAACTAATATTCGGCTGTAACGATAAACAATGGGACGCGCTTGTTACGGCGCCATGATACAACTATTCAGCCTCGACGGATAGCCGTATTGCGTTCAAAAAATTGAAGGCGTTTTGACTTCCTACGCATAATACCTGCAGTTGATTCGATCGACAAACGCGTTGGTCGGTGGTGACGGGGCATGATGCGACTATTTATGCTTGTTGGATGTCCGTATCGGTCCGACTGAAGTGCAAAACCACGTATCTCCATTGCTGTGTTTCAAAATTTCCGTTCTTTATTCATCTCTTCCATGAGCAACAGTCCAAATTTACGACTTTAAAATTTGAACCGAATCTTCTGCTATCGAATACGAAAAATCATGGAGAATGAAAGTTTCATGTTGACCAACTTCTAGAAAGAAAAATAAAATTTCTAAGGAAGTCTGCAACGTCGCAAATGGAGAGAAGTCGTCACTCATTTTGCTCGAAAATCGATGTATGTATAAAATTGAAGTCATTATGACTGGCCTGTCTCAATTTATATTCGTCTGTAACGATGAACAATGGGACGCGCTTCCTACGGCGCCATGATACAACTAAACAGCCTCGACGAATGTCGGTATTCCGTTCAAAAAATTGAAGGCGTTTTGACTTCCTAGGCATAATATCTGTAGCTGATTCGTCTGACAAACGCGTTGATCGGCAGTGACGGGGGCTTGATGCGACTATTTAAGCTTGTTGGATGTCCGTATTGGTCCGACTGAAGGGCGAAACCACGTATCTCCATTGCGGTGTTTCAAAATTTCCGTTCCTAATTCATCACTTCCATGCGATACAATCCAAATTTTCATTGTTGGCGCTCTTTTTTTATCAAACCAAAACAAAAACACTTAATACCTAAGCTCTTTCAGTGTCAACAAAAGAACAATTTGGGAATTTATTCGGAATATATTAAAGTTTAGCGGCTTCTTTCATAAGTTCCCGGGTCGTAAGTTATTTCTGACGCTAGAGTTCGCATGCCATTACGGCGGCCATTGCGATTGAGCACCGGGGAGTGCTCGGGCGGTCGAGCTCGCAGGTGGAATCATGAAACGTCATCGGAACTCGGGTGGGAGACGCGTGCCGGGCGCGCGAAATGTTAGTGATTTTGTTGCTTTTTTGTTAGCTTTGTCATCATCAAACTAGTGTGGACTCCCGGACACGAAAATATAAAAGGGCAGACAAACAAACAAAAATTTTAACAAATGCTATCGGTCTTTCCAATGAGAAAATTCATTACCTACTCCAATTACTTAAAGCAAGTAAAATCCTCTACCCTACAAGCAAGAATCTATGGCCGAAAGCTCGAAGATTAAAGGAACTATAGACTCGTAGGGCAGAAATGGACATTATGACACGATGCACATTTTATTTTGGAGGGCCGTTACACTGAAAAAAAATAATGATATTTTCAACCCCAGGCGGCGTTGTTTGAACCATTGCAATTACTTAGTAATTTTGGATGACAAATCAATTGCGGGTTAATGTAAACAAGGTGAAAAAGCTTACTTTGACTAATTTGGAATAGTAATGCCGATCATTCAGATACTTCCCTCAACACATGCAAGTGTTTCGACTTGACATTTAGAATTCTTAATTCTACTATTTCTCACGAGTAAAATCAATCCTTTGAAAATGTTAATTTAACGTATCAAAGGTTAGACATTATGAGAAATGTTTGTAAAAAATTGCCTAATTTGATAAATTGTAAAGAAAAACTTAGATCATACGCACATTTAGAACCGTTGCTTTTCAGCAATATACATGTGGCCTTCTTTCAAATCTTGACCTACCAATCGGGTTTTGAACCTGGTACCTGCCTATCACGAATCGAATGCGCTACCTATTGAGCCAACGGGGCTTCTGATTGAGCACTGAGAATTTGAGCTATATAAGTGATAGAATTATGTTCGATTATTTTTATTGTTAAATATGCGTGAGAGCGAAAGGCTAAATATTTTTTTGGACTTAAAAAAACTGCATATGAGTAAAAAATAATATGTATCATAAATATTTTAAAATGGGTATACTTTCTAAATTACCGATATTTAATAAAAAATAAATTTTAATATTTTGTCGCCTGTTTCTTCCTTTTTCGGTTTTTTAATTTTATGATAACGTGCATCAATTTTTTTAAAATGTTTAGAACACCTTAGATAAAGGTAGATTTTCAAAAAAAAATCATTAGACATGAAAAAACTCTGGTTTATTCGTTTAAAACACGTGTTTTGTATCGAGGTTTCTTGGTTTAAAGAGGTGGCGCTGTAAATTTAATTTTTTTTTTCAAGGTCCGCTCGGAGTATCCTCAGTATCAGACCCATAAAATAAGAATAGTAATAAAGAACATAATTTAATTCATATTTTTTTTAAACATGGTGTTCAAAGTTCAGAACTTTATATTTTAATAAGAGCTTCATATTATAAATAATCGTTTCATAAAAAGTAAGTATGCAAATCGCATCCTAATTTTTTAAAGAGGTTTTTGCTTTTCTTTTGAAATATCTACCTTTTTTCTTGTATCAACATTTCCTGGCATGGGAACTAGGCATGAAGACTAGGATTTTATATGTATTTGTATGCATAAAATTAATCTCATGATTTGTGCAAAGGATTTAAAAGAGGATAAACATTTGTTGACTTTCATAGAAAAACAAAGGATAGGAGTGATGGGATGACAAATAGCGCCCACTGTTGTTTGCCTAACTCTTCATTTGGAGGCGTTTTTGAGAATTGGTTAGTTTTACTATTTGTAATTCGTTGGTTCGGCAAATATATTTTTCGGTATAACTTAGCAAACGGTAGAACAAACTATTGCAATTATTGTCTCAATACTTTATTTTACTTTGTTTTAAACAATTTCTTCGGTCACTAAAACTCTTTGAGATTTATTAAATCCACTCGTTTCTTTGTTGGTGTAACCACACAAATTATTCCATCAACTGATTGGATGGTCATTTTAAGCAACTTGTCATTTCTAGTTTTAACACATGTCTCTTCCGTTACATAGATAATCCGCTATCGTCAAGTTAAAGCCACAGGGAGTTAAATTAAACATTTTGCAGCTACTATTCCACATTAGTTAAAAAAAGTAGAACTTTTTTTTTCAGTGTAGAAAAGCACCACTGTTTTTTATAAACCAACGTTGCCACGTCTATACCAGCAAGGGATATAGAACCGAAGTGGCTACTCCCACTGGGAGGAGGAGGGAGTGGGGAGGGGTGAGGAGGGAGGGGGAGGGGAAGNGGAGTGGGAAGGGGTGAGGAGGGCGTGGGAGGGGAAGTAGGGGGAGAGGGGAGTGGGAGCGTTCGAAAGAGTATAAAAAAAGAAAAGTTTTTGCGCAAGCGCGAAGTCAATAGTTCAAACCGTTTCAATAAGGCGGTCGGTTAAAGTTCAAAATGGCCGAAAATGGACATTTCGGTTATGTGCGTATGGATTTGCCTGAATAACTTGGAATTTAGGGGTATTTTGGCATGAGATTAACATATTTGAAATTATATTTCTAAAAAAAAAAAAAAAAAAAAA